TTTTATGTTCACCTATAGTTTCTATGCCAAATGTGACTCTTTTCAGGGGATAAAGTGTATTAAATGTGTAAAAATTGCTTTTATATTTTTACTTAATATATGTGAAGTTATACTTGTGTAGTAGTAGAGACTATTCTTACTTTTGTCTAAATCTTTAGCAGCATTACTTGATTTAATATCCTCCTTTTCTGTATGCCCAGCGTTACATTTAATGCGTTTATCATTATTTGAACGTAAATCAGTATCTTTAGTTAGTCCACTTATTGGACTAGGTGAACGATTTTTATTGGAATTACTACGACTTCTAGGATCCCGTTTCACCTCTTTACTCTTTGCTGGTGGGGAAGCTGGTGAAGATGATTTTCTTTTATGCGTTGAAGAATTAGAAGTTATATCAAATTCATCTTTATCACATTTTGCAATACGTTTGTCGCGACTACTAAAACCTCCATCTTTTCGACGGTCTGAGGAACTGCCACTTCCACTACTGGAAGATGAATTTTTGTCAGAACGTTTACGATCTTTGTCTCGACTAGAGGAACTTGAACTTTTGCTGGACGTACGACCTGAACGACTTGAGGAATGGCGAGTTGGTGACTTACTTTCAGAGCCGGAGCCGCCGCTACTAGTTCTTCGTGTTTTATGACTATCCTTACGGTATGATGAAGTTTTTTCTGTATTTTTAGAGTCTTCATTGTGATGCAAATAATTGCTTGGAGGTTGTATTTGTATACCTCTATTACCATGCTGTTGTAAGCCTTGTTGACCTTGTTGATTTTGTCTTGCCAAACGTGGATCACGATGACGTATGGTATTAATTAAAGCCGGATTCACTGGATGTACTTTTGGCTTGCCAATATTATTAATTCCAGTAGGATAAGTCTATTTGAATAAAATCATTTTATTAAATTGTTTATTGGAATAACATAGAATTGATTATTTCTACCTGAGCTGGTAAGTTATTTGAGCCGGGTATTAAATTTGGTCTAGAATGTCGATAAGTATTCTGGTAAATACTTGGTCTTATAGCTGGCGAGTGATGCGCCACTATATTTGGTGCAACCATATTATTTGGCATTATTTGTGGCATAACTGAGGGTGGAGCTAATATATGTGTATCAACTGGTGACAAAACATTCTCAGCTGTGCCCAACTGTTTTTCTTGTTCTTCTAAACGTTTTTTTGTTGCTTCAAGTTCTAATTCTAATTTTTGTTTTTTTAATTCAAGTAATTTTCTTGTTTTTGCATGTAAAATTTCTTCCATACTAGTATCAGTAGGTAATGCTTGTATAGTTTGATTAGGGGCAAGATTTACATTTACCTTAAAATATTTAATTAAATTAATATATATATATATATATTTCATTTAAATTCTATTATATATTTACCGTTTTTAAGAAATTCGGATTGACATGAATTGCTGGTTGCGAATGTTGTGCAGTTATTGGCCAGTTAACATCTAAACGTTTGACTTTGACATCTAATGTGTATAACTTCTGTGCAGAAAATACTTCATTCCACGTTTGACGCAATGCGTACATTCGTTCTCGTACCTTTTCATTCACCTTAAAAAAAATAACCTCTTAACACTCTTTATCTTATATATATTTATTACACTTTTACTTACTGTTTCGAATACCCCACAAAATATATTTACTATACATTGACTGAAGAGCTGGACATATGTGCTTTTCACATTTTTCACAATCGAATCAATTAGATACAGTATTGGCAACTTAATATCTGGTACTACCTGTATAAGAATTATGAAGATAAGGAAGATCATGTTGAGAACAATAACTAGGAAAATCTCGTGGTTAAAGTGTATTCAATACAAAAATGAGCACAATTTTTAATGGAATGATGTACTTAAAGATTATTATAAGACTCGTAATATGTGCTCGTAACAAATTTAACGAAAATTATGCGTTTAGCATCTTTACAAGCTGAAAACTATAAAATTATATTATGTGGAAAATGTACTTTGATGGTACTGAAAGAAGTCATTTCATATAATAAGATTGTAATATAGAAGTTTACTAGAGATTATAATACAATTTGCATTCAATAATTATGCTATATAAATATAGTAAAATATAACCTTGACTAATTTCTATACTTTTTCTTAGGAAATTTTGAGCTGCATGATTCCTAAAACTTGCATAATAAACCTTCCGTTTTTCAAAATGTTTATTTGATCTAATACTACACTGAAGTAAACTGTCCCTTATTTATTACTAATATATTAAAACAAAATCCATGTACCTACAGACATAATTAGGTTTACTCCCAACATATGCATTATCAGAGCAAATAAAACTGAGCGTTATTGTATAGCGTTTTAAACCGTATATGGCTTTATAGCATTCTAAATAATTGTTGGATAAAATTCCTATTTCTTAATATAAACACATTTATAACCATTTTGATTTTCAAAATGACTTTGGTAACGTTCATTATTAAATTGTATCTTTTAATTTTATTTTTTAACCGAACAGCTTAATATCTACGAGCTCTTTAAAAGTGATTACTTCACTTATAAGATATTTATAAATTATAATGTATATATTATTATTTTGTTTGTTGGGTTTTGTCGTCGAAATGTATGTATTCGTATTCGTATGTATTTACATAAATCCTGCATGTTTGTATATATGAATGTATGGTACCTATGTGTGTATATTTTTTTTCGTTTGCAATTTATTATAATTAGGTAATATGAAGTTGACTATTTTTTATGATTTATATATAGCAATAAGGCTATATGAGGTTAAGGAATTTTTTTAAGGAATTATATATGAGTATAGCGCATAAACAATATGGAATTGATTATTTTTTTTTTTTTGCCATATGTCAACGGGATTAAGTTTTATAAATATATATTTATTATAATTAAATTATATTTTTGAAAATTATATGATTAAATGATATAAAGGATTTTATAATATAAATATATAATATCTACTATATACTGACTATATATATATTATAGTAAGATGAAGAAAAAATGTGCATATTTATGGATGTTTAAAGGATATTACACTTTATTTTCATAGATATTTTTATCATAATTATAAGTTTGAGGAATTTTTAAAGGTATATTTATCATAATTGAATTATATCTTTGAATATGTACATATTGAAATCAGATTATTGCATTTATCGTAATTGCGCTTTTTTTTTGAAAACATATCATAATTCAATTATACAAAATTTATTTTTTTTTTTGAAAAAAATTTGTTATAATTAAAATTGAATTTGAGATTTTTTATGATATTGAAAGATATCTCTAGTATGAAGAATGAGCTAAGTGTATATAAATTTGTAGGGCTTAATTAATTAGATATTAAAAATGCGTATCTATGAACCGAAGGTATAAAGGGGGCAATAAAAACAGTAATTTAGAATTATTTTTATAATAATTATTTAATAATATACAGTCAGTTCTGAATTTTAATAACAATCTAATACTCATCTAGTTTTATTATTACTACCACTCCATCTAGACTTATTATCGTATTATTTTTAACAAAATCTTTAAGAAAAATCATATATAAAAATAACTTTAAAAACACTACTTATTATATTATAAAGTTTATTAAAAACCTTAAGTTGCAACTGTAGGTGGAAGCTACAATATATTATTAAAAAACTATTTATTTCAGTATAAAATTTGTGCAAACTTAAAATTATTAAAAGTTAAAGGTGTAAAATCAAATTAAAATAATTTCAAAGCTATTTTTCAAAGATTTATATATATATATATATAAATCATTTTAAGTTCTTTGGAAATGAATTATATTCTTTTCTAATACTCTTAATAACTTATGAATTAAGGTTGAATAAAATTAAACATTTATTACAAATTTAGAGTAAAATTTTTTGTTCCTCTAGCTAATAAATTTTTAAAAAAATATTTAAATAAAAACTGAATATCCAACATATACCTTTAGCTTAATATACTGATTTTTATACTATATTGATTTTTTCCTATTATTTATGTGGATATTAAATATTATTTGCTGTGCAGATATGGAATTCTTTGGAATTGGATTAAGGTGAAAATAAGACAACACACTACTACAATTTATTTTAGTAATTTGTATTTATTCAACATCATATTTTTCAAGAGAAATTAGGTTTAAATTTGTGAACGCCAAGAATGTTACTTACTGACTTTAAATTTGACATGAATGAGAGTATTATTTCTGTTCAACTTTTATTCAAATATATCAAATAGATTTTTAAGACGTGTTTTACCTTTGTTTATGTGCTTAAATAATCGTTATTTACATATATTTGATATTTTAACACATATTTTTATTTTATTAAAGTATTTTGTTAAGTCTTAAATCGATTCTTTACAAAATTTGAACGTTGATGTTTTGATCCTAAATAATACAATTAAGAGTGTATGAGAATCAACTCATCAGTTAAGAGAAATATCACCCAATTTGTGGTAAAAGAATATTATTTTTCAATTTAAACATTATTTGTACTTTAGTTTTTTTATTTTCTTAAAAATTTTTTTAAGTAACGTACTCAGTCACTTTTTTCTTTTTGATTTGTATATATCATCAGTCTTAGATCCGTTAATAAAATATATATTTATTACGGCGTTTAAATGTCTTTATAATATAAGTCTTACTTGTATAAAAATAGTATGAAATTCTTAAAAAATGTTAACCTTAGCAATATGATCTTCAACCACTCTGACAATTACTGAGGCATACTCAATGTTCTCTTCAGCTAACATAGTAAGCATGTTTATAAGTGGCTTGCTGTTGCACGTTAGATCCGATAAACTTGAGAGGTATTCCTCAGCAACTCGGTCTTCGTTCTCCTTATGCAGCTTACTGTTCATGTCCATTTTGAAAATTCAATAAATATTTTGATATGCAGATTTTCGGGATTTGTCAATATGAAGTGACGTTTCTCAATATTCGTTATTATACAATTGTAGTTTTGTATGAAGCATTCTGTAAGAATAATTTGTAAAAATGACAATTAACTCAATGATATTTAAATAAAATTTTTGTATTAAGAATTTAATTCAACATTTTACACAATTCATTGAAGCACAAACAGATTTCTGTTGACATATTATTTTTTTACTTTCTTTTACACTCTCACTCTCAAAATAGTAACCACCCCATCTTACACAACCAACTTATCCACATCCTAACCCATATATTCGTCATGTAATTCCTTTCGTTACCTCCATTACAGATCCCTGCGGGCTACACCAACAAGAAAACATAGCTAACTTTAATATAACCTTACAACCTACTGATATAAAAAGGAATATACCAACGAATCCTACAAAGTCAAAAACTCCATAATTTTGATATTACAAACGGTAAAAATTATTTTTTTGAAAACCATCCAGTCTCTGTTAGCAAAGCCCTATAAAGTCATTCAATGTTGGTATAGGATGAACGTGTGTCCGTAGCACGTTATAACTGACGTATAGATCAGCTTAACTTTTAATGGCGGATTGTATGTGTGATATCGCATATTCTGAGCAAGTCCATGGTAGCTGAACACTATGTCTAAAGCGTCATAAAGACAAATGACGCCCTAGACATAATGAACACTATGACACTGTAAAATAACTTGTTGAGACAAGTTTCGGTTGCTTAAGGACTATTATGTTAAGGACGTTAAAGATACTTAAAAGGGTTAAACCACTAACTCAACAATCTGCGTGCGATTTTATCGAAAAATTTTTAATTTTGATACAAAACAACGCATTTAATATTTGTTATAAAGCGATGAAATTTCAATAATTCAAATATTTGTTAAAATTAATCTAAGTAACTCATATAATATTAAATGCGTTCTTTATAGATTGTTGGTACTGAATTTATATTGACACATTTGATAAAATATGCATGTATATTAAAATGTGTAGGTGTTGATTTGAAAAATATGTGATTTATGTATGCAAAAAGGTTAATAGTATAGATATATAATATTTAGTTCTTAAATATTAAGATTTTGGTATTTTCGGAATATGCATTAAGAAATCCCCAATTCTTTATAAAAAATCAAACACAAACAACACATTTAAGCGTAATTATATCGATACATTGTTGTTGGTGTATGTTTTCCTTGACTCCACAAACAAAAACCATATATAAGTATAAGTGAACAAAAATATAATACACATTTATATGAAAAGACGAGGGGTTAGGAATTAACTACACAATCTCTGAACAATGATCATTGTATACGTGAAGTTATAAGTATTTTGCAAACTGTTTAACAATGTATATTTAGCAATATTGTTATCCAAGTTAAATTAGGATGATATTGTATTGTAAAAATATATATTCGTGTATATCATGAAACTGCATCAGTCCAGTTATTTTGGACTAATATTTGAGTTATATTTATGTATATATAATGTATTTCAGTAAAGTCATAAACACTCATTTATAATAAATTAATTTACATTTAAAACAATTGCTTAAACAAAAATAAAACAAAACAAAATCTATTTTTCACATATCCGCATAGCCATTAACGCATATTGTATACTAACACCATTAATTAACGAAAACACGTCAAACACATTTTGCGTATGAAAAATTTTTGCACTACTTTGTTTGAATCATTTAGTATTTCACTTACCCTTTCAACTTAAAAAGATATAAATAAATATTTTATATTCACAAATATTAAAAGAGATGTATTATTTTATTGTTAACGTGTCAATATTTTACAAACTTCACACTTCTCACGTAATACTTTCATCGTCTCTGAATTAATTCTGCTATATGAAAATGGCTACCACAATGCCGCAATATCGAATGTAATCGCAAGGTTGTATTTAAAAAAGTAAACAACTTTAAACTTAGATGCAACACATATATTTTAAACGTTTTTGATATCACAATAAATTCTACACAAAGTTTTGATTCATATTTGTCAACACTTGATAAGTAGTTTTAACGTACTGTATCATTATATTAATTTTTGATGCTTATATAGAATTTAAAATTTTTTCTTGTACTGTAAAATACTATATAAAAGAATTGGTTTACCCTATTATTTTAGAAATTGCATTTGTCGATAATGACCGTCAAGTGAATAATTTAGAAAATTCCTGTCTTTATGATCGCATATAAGTTCTGAGAATATTTGCCAAATTTTGACAACATATGCTATTTTTACTAATTAATTTTAGGAATTCTATACGCTATACCTCAATTCTAGGAATTTTATAAGTCAATACCTTTAAACATTTCGTAATTAAGTTAAGTGTTGTTTCTCGAACATTATGCAGGCCATCTATGTTGTTGTATAAAATTTTTTGATGTTTTGTATTTTGAGTAATTATTGAGAAAAATAAAAATTTATAAATATATAATAATAACATATATTTATGCTATTATAAATATGATGGATAAAAACAAGTATTTGTATATATTATAATTATTATTTGTATATATGGTATTATAACTATAAAGAGCAAAATGAAAATTAAATTTGTTTATAAATAATATATTATTATTGTGATTATTATATAAATATGTAGTCATATTTGGCGTACAATCAAAAATTGAAAAAAATGGCAATATTGATATACATAATATATAATTTGTTGGAAACAGTTTTTGTTTTATTTGTTTTTTGGTCGAAATATTTAAAGATTACATCTCTTAATATATTAGTATATATTTTTTTAAAATAAATATTCAATTTAACAAGTATATATAACGCTGAGAGTTCTCACGAGCATTAAATTCACGAAAACTGTTTTTAAAAAACAATATTTTGTTTTTATACAATATTTAATTTATTAACATATTAAATGTGAGAGTAATAACTTGTTGAAATAAATTTATAATATATAGATTAAGTGAAAATAGAAAAATTATCAGCTCAGATAGATAAGAAACACATGTTAAGAAACAAAAAACTTTGTATCCAGCAAATTTCACTTTTCTGTGAAATACTTTGTTGAATATGATAAGTCAAATTTCCAATGAGAAAACTAGTTCTAGTAGAAGGTAAAGATCTTCTAGAGGCCCTATCCTTCACTGAGAGAGAATGACAGCAGTAAGTAGGTAAGTAAAAGTCAATCATTATATTAAGAATATGGTTGGATATGTTAAAACATGTGTAAATAGACACACATTGTGGTTGTATCATATTTTTTCTAGCAAAAAGTGGTACATATATATTAAAGTGGTATGTATTTATTATCCTAACAGTAATCATCGTTCAAATAATACATGCCTTCAAAGTGTCAATGACAAAAAGAAGTTTTTTGTTTTTATAAGTTAATTAATCAATATTTAAAAACTTGAGAAAAATTAATAGCAAAAGTAATTAAAAGTTCAATTCACATACTATTTACTACACATATATCTTACAATATATATAAAAAATTGTTTAATATTAAACGTCCTTGTCATAAGCACATTAAGAAATAATGGATTATATTTTAATAATATTAACAAGGGTAATAGATCATACGTCTAACAAAAAAAAAAAGAAAAAATGTTTTATATAATAATAAGCGTTACACTCGCATCATTTCATAGAAGCAGGTTGTAAGTCATAAAATGAACACTCATATATTTATTGTGCAGAAAAATCAAGCATGACGCTAACATGCCTGTGAAGTACAAATTGCATTTAGAATCGTTAACGAAGCTTAACGAATGTATGTTACACATATTTGATACATAATATATATATTATATTATATATTATGGTTTTTGTAGTTTACAAAATCACGAATTATTTGTGGCTACCTAGTAACAAAGTCATCGAAATTTACAAAGAGAGTCGTATTTATAAAAACATAACAATAAATTTTTATAGTTAATGTAACGAAAAATAAATTTATAGCTAAAATTTTCATATTCTATGCGTATATCTGCTACCGTAACCCATTTTTATTGTATATTAAACGAATTCTACATAACTGAATAAAACGCATGGCATCTCTGAATTTTGCTTGATTTGTACACCTCTGCAATGAATTAGAAAAATACAACATTGAGCTAATTGTCAAAAAATTTGATTTCATGTGTTTTTAAAGTTTACATTATTTTTTGTGTGTAAATAGTTATGGATACGTTTTAGGACCGTTTTTAGAATTTTCAATTACACAATCATAAAAATGGATACGGATATGGAGAGCATTCACACAGAAGTTGATGTAGAGTGTGACATATCTTCCAACTGTAGTTTGGACAAAGATTTTTACAAGAGAGCTCAACAGTATTGGTCAGAAGTTCCGGCGACAGTAAATGGAATGTTGGGAGGAATGGGCTATATAAGCGCAATTGATATACAAAGCTCTGGTAATTTTCTTAGAGACTTAAAAACGTTAGGCACCAAATACGCTTTAGATTGCGGTGCTGGTATAGGACGTGTAACAAAAAATTTATTGATGCCTCGATTTGATGTGGTAGATCTTGTTGAACAAGATAGCGCATTTGCTACCAAAGCGAAGGAGTATTGCACAATGGATTCGGGAAACACTTTAGGTTTTCCTAATCGGCTTGGAACTATATACAATGTTGGCTTGCAAATGTTTACTCCAGATTGTAACAAATACGATCTAATATGGAGTCAGTGGGTACTTGGGCATCTAACCGATGAAGATTTGTTAACTTTTTTTCAGCGTGTTCGGATTGGATTAGCTAAAGGAGGTTATTTTGTAATCAAAGAAAACGTAACATCTACTAAAGAAGTAGAAAAAGACGAACAAGACTCATCTGTAACACGTCCCTTAAAAGTATACGAAGACACACTGCGTTTAGCAGAATTTCGGATACTGCGCATAACGAGACAACAAAGTTTTCCAAAAGGCTTGTATCCAGTATATATGATTGCTTCACGACCTATTTCATATTTTGAGAAACCTCAAAATATACACTGACGTTTTATTAAATAGTTTTGACAAATGTAAAAAAATGTAACTAGTCTTGAATAAGAATTAAACATGTTGGCTTAAAATTTTTATCTTTAATTTATTTTAAGTTTTTTGTTCGTCTTCACATATCGTACACGACATACCTCTGATAAAAAATTTTACTAGCATTTCCATATTTAGGTAGAATTTAAGTAGCTGCTGTCTGGTAATTATATTAATTTTGTGCACAATAAGAATCATTTAATCAGTTTTAGAGAAGTGTGCGCATATCAAAGCTAAATCAATTTATGTTAATCAAATTAGTATTAGGTCGTTTCCATTGTCATAAGTTGATTTATGTATGTGAAAGACCTTTTATGTGTCAGAAAGTTATTTTATTTGTTAACAAATAAATTGTTAGCAGAAAATTTTTAGTCTTGTATAGTTAGTTAAAATTAATTAATTTATTATGAAGAAAATGCAAAAAATTTTGTGTATAATATATATTTATAAAAATAATTTTTTAAAATTGTTGTTTTTTGGCTTTTGTGTTTTTTGTTTATTAAGATTATATTTCGTGTGTCCAAAATTGATAATTTCCATTATTTATTGTTAATTTAGTTATACCATATTTCCCTTGCTTTCTTAATAAGTTACTTAAGTAACTTAAGGATTTTGTCGTTTTCATTCACATTTGTTACTTTTTGCGTGAGAAAGACTTCGCTTATCACACAAAAAATTAAATATGTAATTGATGTATTAACACATATATATATTCTTGATATATATATCATTTATATATATACCTCAATCACTTTATTTACAGCTCAGCTGTTTGTTTACATTTTACATACAAAGCATAAGACACATATTTCAAACTTTGTTAATATCCCTTGTGGGAAATTTATTCTTAAGGGTTCCATTCGACATTTTTCACCTTTAATGAGCTGATTTATTGATTATGAGTTCATTTATATGAAAACTTTAACAGCTACTAGTCGTTATAATAAAAAGAAATCTTGTACAGAAGAGTACGCTTTGCCGCTACCAAAATTAAACATATTCATGAGTACAAATTATTATAAAATAAATTTAACGCAAAAAAATTTAAGATTTTTTCAAATTTATTATTTCTATCGATTAGGAAGAGTTTATAAACGAATATAGTTGAATTAGTTTTAAATTAATTAGGTACGTTTTTCTTACTACTAAAGTGAAATTGCTAAATAGAACTCTTGTCATACGTCATCAATATCAAAAGCAGAGGTGAAGAACTTAGTATTCTATTCGTTGTTTAACTTATTCGTGGGACCGCGTTTGAATTTGGTCAGTTTAAAAATGTCTGCGAAACGATTACAGCCAAAGTGGCACAAACCTGCCTGTGTGGATCGTCCAAAATTGCGCTTGTTTAATAGTCTTACGCGACAAAAAGAGGACTTTATTCCATTGGATGGTAATAATGTGACGTGGTATAGCTGTGGTCCTACTGTGTATGACGCATCCCACATGGGGCATGCTAGGTAAAAACATACCAACTATATTTGCCACATCAAAGGCAATCATGATGAAATTATTATCTTATCTTGCAAGTGTGCATGTTCTTCTTTAAGGTCTTATATATCTTTTGATATATTGCGGCGTGTTCTTGCCGATTTTTTTGGTTACAATATTCATTATGTTATGAACATCACTGATATTGATGACAAAATAATAAAACGAGCACGACAAAATTATTTGTATGAGCGATATGTATTGTCAATGGAAACAAGCCCATTAGATAAGCTACTCTCTGACCAAAAAGAAGTGTTGTGTGCGTTTAAAGCAACATGTGCGCAAAACAACGATCCGGATAAGAAAATCATGTTAAATAAGATATTAGAACGCATGAATGATGCAATAACAATGCTTACAAATGCTGTTTCCAATGGTGACGAAATTGAATTAAAGAAAGCCCGCACTTCTTATTTAATTGAAGCCAGAGACCCTCTATCTGATTGGCTAGATCGGAAAGAAGGTTCACTAGTGACTGATAATGCAATTTTCGAATCTCTACCTAGATATTGGGAAGACCAGTTTCATAATGATATGAATGCTCTAAATGTATGTATATTTATTTAATTTTTTCATATATAATTGTATATTTTTAGATATTACCACCAGATGTCCTGACTCGGGTTTCCGAATATGTTCCCCAAATAATTACGTTCATTGAACGAATTATTGCTAACGGTTTAGGATACGCAATAAATGGTTCGGTTTATTTTGATGTTAATGGATTTGATAAAAGAGAAAAACATCACTATGCTAAATTAGTACCAGAAGCGTATGGCGATACAAAAATATTACAAGAAGGGGAAGGGGATTTATCAACTACAGAAGATCGTCTTTCAGAAAAAAGGTCTGTTAATGATTTTGCATTATGGAAAGCTAGTAAATCTGGTGAACCATGGTGGAATAGCCCTTGGGGAAAAGGTCGCCCTGGTTGGCACATTGAGTGTTCAGCAATGGCATCTGATATTTTTGGGCCTAAATTTGATATACACACTGGAGGAGTTGATTTAAAGTTTCCACATCATGATAACGAGTTAGCACAGTCGGAAGCAGCATTTGATGAAGAAGATTGGGTAAAGTATTTCCTTCATACGGGTCACTTAACCATCGCCGGTTGCAAAATGTCGAAATCTCTTAAAAATTTTGTAACAATTCAACAAGCTTTGCAAAAGCATTCTCCAAGTCAACTACGGCTTGCTTTTTTGTTGCACTCATGGAAAGATACGTTGGATTATTCAGACAACACAATGGATATGGCAGTTCAATATGAACGTTTTTTAAATGTGAGATCAATATAAATATTTTTTTCTGACACAAATATTATTATTTTTATTTTAGGAATTCTTCCTTAATGTAAAAGATCTTACTAGAAAACATACTAGTTCTGAAAATCCATGCAGTCTTTTTGATGCTTGGAGTAATGTTGAATCAGATTTACAAATTCAATTTAATAATATACAATCTAAAATATATGAGGCTTTGTGTGGTAGGTTTTTGATTAATAACACCAAACAATAATAACACTTAAGTTTAATATTTAGATAACATTGATACCCGTACAAGCCTGGATTTGATACGAGAACTTATATCTTCTTCTAATGTCTACATACGTGACAACAAGGAAAAGTTAAACAGTTTACTCCTAAGAAGAATAGCTGCTTATGTCACTGACCTTTTTAATATATTTGGCGTTATTAAAGGAAATCGTGGTGGTATTGGCTTTCCAATGAAAAGTTCAGGCGATGGAAATGTTGATATTGAATCGACTGTATTGCCTTATGTCAATGCAATAGCAGAATTTAGGAACCAAGTTCGCAAGCAAGCTAAAACAACTAAGTCTACTGAGATCCTAAAATTTTGTGATGAGCTACGTGATAATATTTTACCAAACTTGGGTGTTCGTTTAGAAGATAAAGATGATGATAAATACGCGGTAAAACTAGTAGATCGGGATACATTAGAAAAAGAACGCCAACTAAAACTTATAGCTTTAGCAGAACGTGAAGCTGAAAAAGATAGAAAAAAGCAAGCAGCTGCTGCTGCTT